ACACCCTGGGGTTTTTAATGACCACAGAGAGTCAGGATCTGTTTTTGGACAGTGCCTTTTTTACAGTCTAGTGTCCCCGTCACTATACTGGGGCATCAGGACCCACACAGACCGCAGGGTGAGCGCCCCCTGCTGGTCCCACTCACACCTCTTCCAGCAGCAGCCTCAGCTCTCCCAGGAGTCTCCCCTCCCGGTACTGGCCAGGCTCACACTGCTGGGCTCCGGTGGGCTGCCAGTGGGGAGCTTCAGCGTGATGTAGCTGCTGGCAACACAGGGTGAAGGATGATACACTTGAAGCGAACAGGGCCTGTAAATGTCATAAACCCACTTTATAAGTGCCCAACAAACACAGTTAACCGTAAAGGAACCATTAATAAAAGCTGAATAAGTGAAATATAACTGCCTTCAGGAATATTCATCATTGCTAAGGGTGATGTACTACTGGGTACCCGACGTTGTTTTAATGTTATCATCAATAAAGAACTCAATTATAGAATCAATTGTTTATTGTCTTCATTATTTATACCCCTTTTCCTGATGTATTGCTGAACAGCAGCAGCTAGCATTATAAACTGCACATCCCTTTGATAAATATTTTATAATCTGCAAAGCAGATTCATGCACAATTAACTGCATTTTAATCAACAGCGGCCAAATTGTCCTCCTATATCAACGCCTTATTACAGCGTAACCGGGGCTCGACAGGCCATTCTGAACTGAGCACGTGTTGTTCGTATCCGATGCTAAACGTCTGATATTTAACTTCTTTTTCTTCTTTAATCCCTTTCTCTCACTCTCGCAGTAATAAAATAAAACATCAGGAGCTTCCACAAGATAAGTTATGAATTTAGGACTAAAAGGTCAAGATTTAAATGTTTTAAGTGGCTTGCCATAATTTGCTTTTTAATCATGTTGAAGTGTTATCCACTAGGTGGAGCGTGGTTTGAGGTCAAGCATCTCGGTTATCCCCTACACTTTGGGGGAAACCCCTCCTCCCCACTGTTTAGGCAAGTGGCCATGGCCCGGCCGGATTTTAACCCCAATCCTCAGACCAGCTCCTGCTTAGGAAAAGGGGGTGGGGGGGGTACAGAGAACTCCCAGTGTGTCTGTTTGGAAAACCGAGGGAACGCGCATTTCGGGAAAGACTGAGGAAGAGGCAGACCGCCCCTGGAGCCGGGTGGGAAATTTAGCTGCGTAGTTCAGGCAGCCCTGAAGAAATGGCTGCGTGTCACAACGTTTTCAATCTCCATCCCTTATCCAGTCCGGGGGCGCAGGGGAGCTGCTCCCGCCTGCTCCGGTGCTGGGCCACCCCCCTGCTCCGGGATTCCCACAGAGCCGCCAGGAAATCGAAAACGCGGCACAGCCACACCGTCTCAAAACGAAAACCTCCGTCTTTATTGCATTTACAAAGTCATATTGTTCAACAAGAGGGAAAAACAAGATTAGGTACATCCAGAACAATTCCCTTTCGACTCGGGGCTCCCTGGCATCCGGGGATACGGAATCGTCCGCCGGATCGCGGAAGGAGGATTCCCAGTCTCGCTGGCGTTCAACCCCAGGCCTGCAGCGTGGAGGTGACTCGGGAGCGGAACGCCCTTCCCGGGATTACTCTGGAATCACAGTCTCCTCTATCCCTCGTTACACCTAATTGTTTTAATTGATTCC